GAGACGAACGAATTGGTGTATTTCTGTAGTTTTATCTCACGAAATCGAGTACGTGGAGAAATATGTATATATTATTATTATACCGATACGCGTTTTCTCTGTATTCCGTACTTACCGATACCGTTATTACACATAATATGTACTGCAAAGAAAAAACATACTTGCGTATTATTTGCGATAGTATTACGTCCACATGATTTTACAGCAGTGAACTTCACTATTTAATAATAAATAATAATAATACAGAATGTTTGTTTTGACCGACTAATTATACAAAATTAATATGATATAATAATAAAGTAATGATACTAGGTTTAGACAGCTCAGCTCACCACTGGAAATTAACCTCTTATCGGTCACGGTAATGTAGTACCTACTAATAAAAATATATAAAAAATATTTATGTAGACATATTTTTATCTTGTATTCTATTTAAAAAAAAAAAAAACAGTTTTTTAGTGTTGTTTAATTTTACTTTTTGCATCTCGAAAAACTTTGCTATTTATTTTTTAGAACTTTTTTTGGTAACGACATATTATCACGTACGCTTAATATATCTTATTAGTAACCCATTGATCATAAATAATAGTATTTATAATCAGTGGTAAAAACCATAACGCAATTGACTTTCGACGGCTATAACCACGATTCACATAATCTAGATCTGTCAAAATGTTGCTTAATCGAAATAAGATAACAATACCCTGTCGACGTCTATTAGACAATAATAAAATAGTAAAAAGTGAAATAAAAATTAAAAAATAATAAATGTTAGATATATAGTTAATTAATAAATATTTTATGTCTATTAGATATATAATTTTTTTTTAAACACAAAACTAAAGAGATTACCGTGAACAATTTAATTATACAATAAACTTTAAATGCTTGTATAAATCGTATTTAAAAAATGCCATCAATTAATTATCATCATTCAATTCTCTTTTTTTCGATTTTCTAATCACTCGTTTATTATTACAGTAAATAGAACTGATGTATGATTTTATCTTTTTAATTGTTGGACATACAATAATGCTATATACTGAAACGTACAACTCCTCACTTTTCACCATAAAACAATTCAAACTATTTTTAAATTTTTCATATACGTTGCATCTTTTCATTTACTGAAATTATGAAATGGATTGATTGATTTTTTTGATTTTTTTATTAAATGCACATTAACCATGGTTTAGAAACGATCTATGATATTTTCTTTCAAACAACAGTACACGTTTGTACTTGTAATTAGTATACATGTTGAAAACGACTACGTTTCAATTAATACTGAGTATTCATTTAAAAATATCGATTCATCAATAATTCGTAAATATAATTATTTACGAGTATATTATTTCGTATGGTTTTCATACAACATTCATAATTTAGTTAATACAATATAAAGGTGAACTGTTATAAATGAACAGAATTTGATTTAATAAAAATATATGAATATGTTGAATAGTACTGGGGGTGTGGTGGGCGGAGAGGTTTGAGCTAGTTCTTCAAATATGTATGTCCGGCGATTTCAATAATTGTAAGTAAAATAAATCCATTCGACGGGTATCTTAATGTGTATGCTTTTGTTTGTACCGGACTCTACACGCGTAACATTACAACCGTACTACGTTCATTTTTAACGTACTAATACAACAATGGTCTAATCGTTTAACGATAAAATATTAGATTTTTGTTGTTTTACTCAATCGTGAGAACAGAGAATCGCAATCTAAAAGTGCATAATCACATTTGTTTATCATACATCTTAATCGTCGTGCATCCATGTAAAAATAACAATTATAACAATCGGATCACGTAAAAAGATATCAGTTCCAATGACATACATACCGGTTCAGTTGCTCACGGGTAACGTACCATTGTGTATTTGCGTGCCAAGAAGGCTTATTAGATATCATACATTACGGAACAATGGTTGATTCGGCTAATCTGATACGTTAACTACACAAATGTGCGCTGTTTTGTAAAAACGGTACTGCTAAAAACGCAGCATCGGTTCAAAAGTATTTCAAGTATTTCCGTAAATTATTAATATTATTATTTGGATAATGCGATGTTACCGGTTAAAAAATAATAAAACAAAACAAATTATTTATGACATACGGTTAAGCGCAGTACAGGTTACGTTACCAGTGTACATGTGCGGACTGCCGGGGGGGGGGGGGAGCAAAAGGGCAATCGCCTCCTGGGCCCTCGATAGTGTCGTATCAATCACCCGTATACAAAATGTAATATTAAATTATAACGGTAAAACACCAATCATTTACTATTAGAATATCCGAATTTGGATGAATTGAGCACAGTTAACTAAAAATAATTATTAATTAAAATGTAATAAGGATAGATACAAATGACCCCCCCCCCCGTAGCCCTTCGATACCCAGTCTGTCTCTAGCCGCTTCTCTAGCTAAGAAGTTAATATTTAAACATTGACGCGCGTTTTGCATCGATCCTAGTCTAATATTAGTGCGAGCACATCGTGTACGTACACGTTACGCGACGACAGCGTTAATAAATATAACACAATGTAATGGGTCTTCTGGGATCTTAGTATTTCGAACGTTCCGTGTAGGGCATATATTTCCCACCAACAAATCGCAACGATCAGAACGCAATGTCGTTGCAACACGTGTAACAGATGACGAATTAATTTATTCAACAGTGAAGTAGTACCTATGCGGAGGATAGAAAAAAAAAAACTTATTGTGTTTTCGTCCTCTTCTCCGTGGCATCCAAAGAATGTTTTTCATACAACATGATGTCTTTCTGGAAGTCAATTCATTGGTACTGTTCATTATTTCATACGGTGCGTCGAACGCGCATAGAAATAAGACGTATACGTACGCGTACAGTGGCCAGGTACCAGATCGAGTGGTGTTGGGTAACTGTTCTGTTACGGGCCCGGAACGTCGGTAGACTTCGTAACTCGCTGCAATTGGTCGTTGCCGTGTTTCCGATTTGTATTCACAACGTTCGCGACGAGCACCCGAAAACAATATACGAAATCGAATGTTTCGACATTCCTCCCGTACCTACTGCACACATATCCACGTAATATCGTAACCCGAACTCGAGTTACGTACACCTGGAGTGAATAACACAATTGTTGCTATTCGTTTTCCGTAAAAAATCCGAAACATCTTACGGGAAGTGTTGTTGCTCACGTGAAACACGATTTTTCCGACTGAACGCAAAACGACGACGAACTGCACGTACAATGAAATAGGGCCAGATAATTGACAGTGATCCGCCGTATAATTATTAACATATCAAGAACACCTTGCAGCTTATATTTTCGACTCTTAGAAATCGGAAAGGTCCGTAAAAACGTGATTGCGACTTTAAAAATTTAAAGAATTTAAAAACGTGAACTGTCGTTTAGAAAAATATTCCCTGAGGGTGTGATTAAACAATTGATTGATAAAAAAAAATCAAGTATCTCTTCAAAATATAACATACACTATATCAAGGTGATCCGACATTGAGTTTTCTATTTTGGTCTCCCTTGAAATTTATGTAGTAAATATATTAAATGATTCGACATTGGTTGAGAGCACTTATATTTTACGTATTTTAATATTTTCTACTACAAATTTAATAAGATCTTAATTTAGAAATCATATCGACGATTTATCATTAGAAACGTGTATCAGAATGACCATCACAAGGTGGTTTGGTTGATACTAAAAAATAAGCTCTAGAAAAATAAACTGTCGGACGGAAGACCATTGGCTATTCTTGGGACAGGGTTTTTCGGGTAAGCTATTCACATTCACTCAAGGACGAGAAATTAATTATTTGATCACTAATATTCCATCGCATTCGAAAAACGATCCCGAATATAGAAAAGAATAAATATCCGTAAAAGAAAAATTGTACGTTTTCATGTATTGAACAATAATCAGTTTGTTTGAAAAATTTGAAATCGTTAAATTCATAGACATCTTATATTATTAATAACAAAACGTATTGAAGAAATTCAACACATTTTGTAGTTACACTCTTAGAAAACAGTTTCAGTATTTCAGTATACAAAAAAAAAAAAAAAAATGTTAAACAGCCAATAGACATGTATAATATACATATATGAAGAGGTTTTAAGACAGTTGACTGCGATTCACTCGTATAACAACATAAAAAACGAAAAGTTGTGGCTCGTGAATGTTAACGAACATTTTAATAATATAATAAGTTCTTATCCTTTTAATCATACATGGCATGAACATTGGGTCCTTGCTTCGAAGTACAAACTGGTTGTGCTGAGACTATTGCAGTCTAACATCAGCATCTCACACCGACTGCTCATTTACAAAAGTCACCCCTGACTAATATATGGTCATATGGAATTATTCTTTGAGGCCCAAACAAAGAATCCAACATCCTAAACTCTACAAGTTTTCCAATAAATTTATTTTCATACCATTGCCAAAGTTCCATATGGTATGTAACCAACTATGTCCTTCACGTGGACTTCCAAACAAAGACCATTACAAAAACGATCATTATTGAAAGATATCATGGTAAATTTGCATTCAAACGGCAACATCTTCGGTTTTCGCTTAGGGTCTCAAACGTACCTGGTATAGGGACTCGTCCTGTAATTGTATACTATTCATGTGATTACGATTCATTTGTGCGAGTCTACCTCCAATACTTTTTTCATCGTCTTTTTGTCTTTGTCAACTAATTTACTTATTGTTCAAACGGTGTATATAGATTGTAAATATTCAATGAATGCTTTTTCCAAAAAAAAAAAAAAAAAATGACATAAACGATTTTTTACTCGACACGCTAGTGCGTGTCTAAAGGTCAAGTACAGCAAACCTCCTGCTTCACCCCCACCCATCACAATCATCACACGCATCGATATTAAAATTACTGTACGTTATAACAAATTAATACTTTTCAATACAAATAAATTATAATTTGATGTAATGTATAATATATATATACTAATGTTTTGTTTTATTATGTGCTCACAGATATGGAGAGAAACAGAGGCGCGCCGATAGTCAAGAACTGTCTGGTATTCAGTTGCTGTCGGCCACTGCTTATCAGTTGAAAAAACCGTACCAACAACTTCTCATACCGATCACTGTTTGGATTGGAATGGAACAGGCATTCATCGGAGCCGATTTCACGCAGGTTGGTCATCGCATACGTAATTCCGTACACTGGTATTGTTCCATTGCCTATCATTAATATGCAGGGCCGGTACGTTAGCTCTTTCAGCGCCTAGTGCAAGAATTATTTTGGCACTTCTTCTTAAACGACTTAAGTATATAACTTAAACAGGTAGAATTAGGAGAGAGTTGGAAGTGCTAAACCCTATTTATAGTGAAAAATGCTCAAAATAATTTTTCAAACTCGCATACTTGCCAAAAATTTGTAAATCACACAGAGAACAATAACTGTAATTCTGCTTACAAGAGCGGTCATCACTTGCATGTCGATAAAATAATAAATAATAACAATAGTAATCAAATTTGTTGTTAAATCACATGGCGAACATTTTTTTTCTGCCTATAATAGGTCATTTTCGTGGTCAACGTTTGATCAAATTTAATTCCGATTTTGGCGCCCCCCCAACGATAGTATATAAAGCCGGTCCTGATTTTACGTTAGTTTTTATCGTTGTTATTCCATTTTCTGTTGCTATCATAATTTTCACCTAATTTGTCGAAATCCAATAATATCGCCATCAGCTGCTATGTGCACCGACATCATCGTGGTCCGCTGTACAATATTATTGTGTTATTTTAATACGACCATCCTATTTGCTGAGCCCCGATGTCAAGCAACGTTTTCTCAAACGTTGCACTTGAAACCAATGAGAGATACGCCAGCTTAGGTATTATACCTACACGTACTTACCGCCACAACCGCACGTGTAGCTTCATTATTCGGCATTTTTATGCGTCGCGACGTACGCGAAAATCGTCGTACACAGTATTTTTATCCACGATTATCCGACATTTCGACGACTTTCAGCCGCGGTTTAATCCACGTTTTTCCTTGTACCGTGTTTATATTATAATGCGTATTATTTTTCGTCATTAATTACCATTAACCAGTGCCGCAAAAACCGGGTATGGAGAGTGTGCCGCGCATACGGGCCCTAAGGCTTATATAAATTTGGGGGAACCCCCTAGTCCCAGTCTGAAATAAACTACACTTTAACACACAATAATTTAATAATAAAAAGAAAATTTTTGAAAATTCAGGTAAGGTTGTTATAATATTTTAAAATAATATAATATTTATTTAACAATGAGTCCATTGAGTATTTGAGTAGGCATACAACATACCTACCTAAAATACTTAAATAAATTTACTACATAAATATGTAATGAAGTATAATATAAAACAGTTATAGGTATATATATATACATATATCATACACTAACTGATGTGAAATGTGTTTTAAAATCTAAAAAAATTGATACTTAAATTGAAAAATAAATCCTAGGAAGGGGCGCAATATAATTACCGCACACGGGCCTACTATTTTGTAGTTGCGGCACTGCCATAACTGTTATTAATTGTGAATACGTTTACGGATCTGAGAGAAAATCGGTAAAAAATTCCAACTACAGCCAAATACTAAATCGACCGGATAGAAACGATTATATTTTCATTTTCATTTTTTCATCTTCAAATATATTTATAAAAATTCCAAATGAAGCCAAATCGACCGGATAGAAACGTTTATTTTTCATTTAATTCCTTCATGGTTTCATCGTCATCCGAATAATTTTGTAATCATATCAGCGATGAGGTGTGCTTGGCGCTGGTGCGATCGTCGTCGAACGAAAATACATAGGTACGTTGACGCGTGCGCGCGCGTCAATAATGTATTGAATATTCATTTGAGCCGAGGTGTAATAGTAGTGCGCTAAGTGAGACATCGGCTCGCGAGGTAAGAACCGCGTGAAACTAAAACTCTGGTACTCGAATTGTTTACTTTTCAAGGTGAGTACGAACGTGTACAATGCACTTTCTGTAACAGGACGAAGAACGACGACACGTAATATTATATAAGCGCGCGGACGGAACAATGTCCACGTAATTTTTTCGTAACTTTACATTACGACCGGTACATGCGTGTACTAACCTAAATAATTTCTAGTCGACGCATAACCGTGTTGTCCCGGTCGTACACGTTTCGTGAAGGATCGTACGTATTTACACTGATCACTCGTCTTTCAGGCTTACGTATCCTGCGCCCTGGGCATCCCTTCCGTCGGATACGTGATGATCTGCTTCGGCGTGGTGAACGCGATTTGCTCGCTGCTGTTCGGCACCATCATGAAGTATATCGGACGGATGCCGCTGATGGCGCTGGGCTTCATCGTCCACTCTACGCTCATATGGATCCTGATCGTGTGGCGGCCTCATCCCAACAACCCCAAGCTGTTCTTCACCATATCGGGACTCTGGGGTGTCGGCGATGCCGTTTGGCAGACCCAGATGAGCGGTAAGTCCGACTACGTCGTTTTAACCATAATTCTGATATTGCAACGTCGTTGAAAATATTCCGTACGCCTATAATGTAAAGTACAGGTACGTCCATGGTTTCATGCGCGACGCACGTGATCGCGGTACGAACCATATCGACAACCATAATTCATGACCTGACTCCCTCGATCTCTGAGAGTAATAGTTTTCAAATCATATGAACACGACGTACGTAGACAAAAATTGTTCAGTTCCGTAAGAAAAGAATGCAAACCGTACGTTTTGGTTACAGCCAAAACTTGGTGAAATATTCGGCCCGGCAAAGCGTTTGTTACCAACAAGACGAAATCGTGATACAACCGGTTAGAAATTTTGTCATTCAGACACTTGTTAACGCTCAAGTACTTTCCGATACAGTTTATTTCATTACTCCGTACGTAATATTGATTAATATGATAACTAATGAGTAGTTCTTCTTGCAATACGTCGGGGGGGGGGGGGGAAGAGTACCACGGTGATAGATTAGTGGAGATCGATAAAACGTACACCACATCGTATACGTAAATTCCGGTACCTACACTTGTGTAAATTGTGTTCGTTTAAAGTCTGAACACCCCGGAGGGGTGAAAAGAGTGCAGTTGTTTGTAGTCACAAACCGGAAAGAAAAAAAACAAACGCCTAACGTACAACGATCACTTGTGGGTTTCAACCGATGTTCATCGTAACGTTTTGTTTAGTTTGAGCGACGAATCGAGACGAAAAATGAACCAAAGTGTACGGCATATTGGATCGGTAGTCTTAGAGAACACCGCATGGATCGGCCTCGATCTGGCCGCGCGAACGTTTTGTTCTCCGGTGACCGTGTGCGGCGGTACCGTTCGCCGACACGCCGCACGTCGCCGATCGGACGCGGGCGTGCGCGATTTAAACGTATGCCGTTCGGCGGTCGACGGCGAGATAACGATTGAACACGCACGCGAATAATCGAAAACAAACACGACGTCGTGCACCAGTAGCGAACGAAACCGGTAGAAGTCACCCGGTGTGGGGGGCAGGGAGCACTTGAAAAAGGTTTAGAAATCTAACCTTCGGCCGAGAACAATGGAGCGCATCGCGCCTTGTACGGACGTAACGCCTCTGCGCACCACGACGATAAGGTTAGGTTCCGCTCGCATTTACCTCCCCGTGTTACGGACGAACAGGTGATCGAGTGCGCACCCACACGCGTCGCCCGGCATTCGGTCTGTTATCGAGACCGGCAGCTAAATATTTTGAATATTTTACGAGCCGAGGTCGTACGAATTCACACCGACTACGTATACCAGTTAGAGCGGTGTCGGTATCGTTTCGCTACGACGTCCGGCCATTTTTCCGCGCACCGTTTTTCCGACACCCGACCGCCCGTCGGTCAGCCGCACGAGCAACGGCGGTGCGTTCACGACCCGTTTGGGAACGGGGTGTTCGGTCTGCCCCGGGGTTACCACTTGGTGCGAGGCCGATCGCGATCAACGGCCGTCGGAATCGAGCATTCATGTGGTCAGATAATTCCAAACGGAGGAGGGCAGCGATTTTCGGCCCTTGTATCGTTTTCCATAACGTCTTTCCCACGAGAAACTAGTAGAGCCTATGGAGGGTAAAACTACTGTTTGACACTGGTTCCAATCTAATATCACGTCTACTGTAATGAATAGACAAACCCTATGTTTAACGCATTTTACGATTGTGAAATTGAATTACACATTAACAATATATCTGTGCGTATAATGTTTATAATAATTGAAACCGTAATGAACTGTAATATCGAATACTGTTACGGCGATCGATTTGTTCAACGTGCATAAGCCATCAGCAAACTCAACCCCCTGTGGCTGTAATCGAGTCCGCAGCGATTTCACAAGCTTTTCGAGGGTACACCGAGAGAGTGGGCCGATTGTAGCGTTCAAAACTTTCGCCCCTATCACCACACACACACACACACACACACACACTGGTCGAGAAAATTCGGACAACACTGTGTTATGCCCGCCGACCGGACGACGAACGAGAGCGACGATTTTCTTGCGCGCGGTGACCATAAAATAGTCGCGGAAGAAAGATAACATCTAGAGATAACGAGAGCATGATGATACGGATGCACGGAGAGTTCGGCGACTTTCCGTTGAGATGACGTACGGATTGTCGGGACCAGTTGACGAAACGACAGTGCACAGTTCGAAACGATGACCGCGACCATGTGCGGGTCCAATAGTGTTTGCGATGCACGCGTATTACATCAAACGTCCAAGCGGTCGATGTCAAATTATATTATTATTGTTATTATCATCATCATCATCTTTGTCGTTAACATTATTTTTACCTCCGATGTGCGCCTAACGGTGTCGTCCTTGGGGAGGGGAACATCACGATATCAACTGCGGTTTATTCATATTACTATTATCACATGGTTGTCCTCTTTTGAAGTCGACCATTACGAAACGAATATACGATAAATGACAGTTGGACAGTTTAATTTATCCTTTGACCTCTGAAAAACGGATAGATAATCGAGGTTGTTGCGGAAATGACGCACACACGTAGCATTGGACGAATTTCCTCTGAAACCCTGAGCTCATCGACACACCGGCCTATTAGTACGTTGAACATTTCCTTCGGTAAAACAACCGTATTATAATCACACACACACACACGTATGGTTTTTAACAATAATAATAACGATAATAATAATAACAGCAACAGCACCAACAACAATCGTTAACAAGGATAATTAAACAAAAAATAGTTAATTACCACTACGACGATATTATACCCCATTATCGAGATAAACATCGTTTTATATTTACTGCGGATTTTTTTTCGTTTCCATCCGACTTCAACATAACAACATTACGCGCGTAGCGCATACATCGTATGTAATTTAAAACGTGCGGCGGTCGCGAACACCTCTCGTGTGAACCACCTGTACAATGGAGACGACGCGCGAAGACGTCGGAAAAAAGATTGGATTCATCACCTGCTGACACCGGGCCGATTGTCTTGGCGTAGTGTTTAATTTTTTTTTTTGTCAAGGACCAACTTTAGAGGTCGCGGCGACGGCGGTGATGATTATGATGACAACGAGCGGTACGAAAAAAACCGCGTAGCTCAAGAGTAGGGGAAAACAAAAACCGAACGGAATGAATCGACGTGAACCATACGCGCCTGTAATGTACATACGTACAAGTATTTACACGTCTACGCCTATGTGCATTGCCATTGTACCTAATACAACGTTTCCGACAAATACATATTTTACTTGGACTTTCACCGAGTCGCCGTCGAGCACATATTATTATTATTATTATTGTTAATCGGCGATAAACCGTGAATGAAAAGCGCTGCTCGGCTATTGTTGGGCGCGTGCCGTTTGAATGCATGCAATTATTGTATATTCGATCGCTGCCAAGTCGTCGCGCGTGTAAAATATTCATCCGAACGCAGCTGGTTAGGTTAGCGAATTGGTTCACAGCGGTCGCGCGCACGCGGGAGAAAAAAAAAACTTTACCGATCGCGGGGACCGAAAAAGTTCGAGAGACAGAACGCGATACGCTCGCGCAACACTAAGGACTATGTTGAAGGACTCGACTAAAGTGACGTAGTTAGTATCACGCAATCGTACGCAAGAGATTTATCCAAACGGCTATTGCGGCCGGTTCATTAAATTTAAATTCGTATTCATTGTAATCTACGCATATTTGACCGTTTCTGCTGGGCGTTTGCCGTTCGTTCCGAGAAAACGATCGAGCGCGCGCGTAAAAAATGTGTCCGTCAACGGTAACTAATTCGCGCGGGCAGCGAGTGTCAATTATGCGATGTAACGTGTATATTGAAAAAAAAAAAAAAAAGAAGAAAATATACGTCAACGCGTTAAATAAAACATTTGTTCGAGAATGCCTGTGACTGGTAGATGTATAGGGTGGTGTAGGGGGCACGTACACTCGACGCTAAAAACGTTTGTCTTTGAAGAATAATAATAAAAAAAAAAAAAACTAAAAACTAAACGTACAGATATTCCACGTTACGCGGCGTGTATTATTATCCTCATTACTGTTCTAGTACATTCACATTCGTTGGCCGCGGTATAATTGTTTTATTAATTCGTTTCACACAACATTTTTCAACTGCAGCGGCAACTACTGGTATGTTTTTTTCGTGTTGCGATCTTACGCGCGGGCGTCAATATTATAATAATTTCAATGCCCTACAACGAAAAGAGCGTATACGATCGCGCTAAAAACAACGCGTACTTTTCAGAAGACAAAAGTTACTTACACGGTTTCGCATTGTTCTATTCCTTAGTTTCAAAACCAATGTGTGTGTGCGCGTGTCTACTTTTTCCCATTCATAGTTTTTAATGACTCCGGCGGTGGCCAAGTTGAATACAACCTCATAATAATTAGGTCGACTGATATTATAATTAATAATTGTATGTAAATAGATTCGCTGCACAACGTAGGTATACACGATCGCAAATACGTATAATAATAATAGAGGTACTAAACATGTGTACGCGTCGCTCTCGGTCCGGTTAGAAAATAATTTTCAGTCTATTTTTTAATTTCTTCTTTACTTTTCGCCGACCCGCATATATTTTGTCCACGTACTATGAACACGTAATCAACTCCTATGTACCAGTGTTAAACTATGAATTCATTTAGTGTTTCGACCATTAAAAATTTAACATTAAAAAATAATGCAATAAAACCGTTGAATCTTTTTTTATTTTTCTAATGGTTTACGTTTACTCTCTCGCTCTCTGTATCTGTAGATTTTGATGAACCTACTAAAACTTTGGATATTTAGAATTCAACTTAGATTTAATTTTGAAATTTTTATTTTCTACAATCGAAAGTACTAAATGTCTGCTAATATACATTTACAAAACGTCCCATGAAGAAATACTCATTGTGATGTCTCCTAAATTAATGTAGATAATCAAATTTTGTTTTCTTATGTAACTCGCAGGATTAAAGAATACAAATA